AATTTAATGATAAATATTTATTGAAAATAATTAAAGAATGAAGTAATTAAATAATAACATTAATAAAATGTAAAGAGATAAAGTGAAATATTAAAACCAATTTTTAATATAATTTTGTTAAAATAAAATTTTTGAGATAAAATTTCTACTGAAATTATTATTCAATTACACTAAGGAAGTGCCGCAGCCTTTTTATTCAGGGCTCCGGTGCATTCCGGCTAGAATTATGATTTATTACAAAAACTAAGAAGCACCGGAGGCGAACCCTTGGGCTCCGGCCCAATTTAAGCTCTGATCGTAGGGGGGGGGGATCTTTTATTATCCCAAAAATGAGTAAGGCTGATGAAAATTCCAGGGCGAAACAGAATGAGGATATGAGTGAGTGGAAATAAAAAATGAGGGAAATCTTGGTGAAAAATAACGTTCTCTTTGAACGCGGCTCTATGCTGATATAATTATAGCCATCAAGCAGATGTGTGTCAGGGGTAAAATGAGTCCTGAATCTGACTCTTAAGGATGAAAGTAAAAATTCCTGGTTACGCCTTCCCCCCCATTAGTGGATACTGTGGGAAGACGTTGTATAGGACGTCCTTGAGTAGTTTATCTCAGTATTTCACTCTTATATTGTACTCGCTGTTACTTAACGCACATTTAAGAACACAAATTTTCCTTCCTGCGAGGATAATTAACTGTAAGCATCGATAACAATACACTAGATACGATGACATGGCGAGAAATGTATGTGTTCCTGAACAAACTCCACCAAATTTATTGCTCTTCTTAAAGGGAAAGGTTTCCGCATGTGAGTGAGGGGACTTTACTTGAACGTCTCATGTTCTCATGAGTTCGTATTTTTAGGGAAATAGAGTATTGCAAGGTCTGCTTATTGTTAAACTAAAATTCTAATTTTTTTTTTTCTTGAAATCGTGGCTCAGTTTTATAAAAAGAAGTACAGGAGCTCATCTTATTTAGGGCTCCAGTGCGTTCCGGCTAAAATTATAATTTATCTTAAAAATTGAGAAGTACCGGAGCCGGGCTCCGGTGGGCTGTGGCGCAATTTAAGCACTGTCTGTCAGAGCTATACAATAGCAGTACTTGAGGCCATTTTGGTATAACAAAGGTAAAGTTTGTGAATGTCCTATCTGGAAAAGGAAAAAGCGGACATAGAAAAGTGCAAATTATTATTATTAGCAAATTCTGTGATAAATATGGAGCTTGAAAAGACCTGCAAAGACATCCATAAAGGAAGATTACAATACTGCAGTATAGGTCAATAATTCAAAAGATTGCTCTGGGTATTCTCAGATCTTTACCTCATACAACTAAGGGAAAGAAGCAACTTTTAGGTATCATAGACTATTGCAATCAGAGGCCATAAGCTTATACCTTTCTTGATTGTAAAGCTTTGACCATCAGAGAAGTTCTGGATAGAAACTAGTAGAAAGTTATAAAATTGGTAGATAAATCGATTCCCCTATTTTGAGGGCCTCTTCTTATTCACTCTGACAAAGGAAAAAAAAATTATGTCCACCTCCACTGTAAAAGGTTATGAAAAATTCTCTGTATAAAAAAAATGATCAGAACCACCCCAGTTGGTTTTCCTGACGTATAGATTTAATTAAACAATATTGGACCATCTCGCTTGGTTTGTATACTGAAGCCAACATGACTGGGGCTAAAAACTGCCATTACTTTTGCTAGCATGTACGAATGCTGTTTATGAGACCTTTGTTTGTGATTGCTTAGCTCTTGATGTGAGGAGGTGATGCTGTATTTTTGTAAATATTTAAATCTTTTGATTGCATTGTTATTTTTGTATATGTAGGTAATTGTTTTATATACTTAATTCTTTAGTTTTTACATTTTGTATTTAGAATAATATTTGTGGAATTTATTTCATGTGTAAATGATTCATGTGTATTTATGGCTACATATATTGGAATAATCCAAATACAAGGTGTTAAATCCTTGTATAGGCTTTTAGATTTTCATTTCTGAATCAATAACATTTAAATTATTAAAATAGCTCAACTAGAATGCAGGCTGTTTGAAAATTATTTTTGAAGCCTGAGAATCAATGTTCTCCAAACTTTCCGGAAGCCTATACAGCACCGTATAACTATGCTTTAGAGAGTTGGGAGAAGTCACTTCTGGTTATCAGCTTGTTAATAAGTTCTGGAAGTTTGGCATTCCTAAGTATTAGTTGAATTGTATTTTAGAATTTACTCTAGAGTTATAGTGAAAATTTATAATATTTCTTGTGCATTAAAAATGATTTGCTTAATATCCATGCTGTCCTTGAGCTATATACAAATGTTAATTTTTGCTAAGAACTCTATCCTTTTCCAGTAAATTGTCAATTTCTTCCTGCTCATCTGGGTGGTCGTTTAAAGAGATATCCATGAACCCATAGCTCACAAAAGTATACATATGAGCTATTTAGACACCAAGGCAACATTTTCATGTTTTGCGAAAAAATTTTGAATAATCCAGTATGTGACTTTTAACAGGTTCGTGTGCTTTATTAGAAGGATCGAAATATCTGGTTATAACGAAAGTTTTCCACCAAAATACAGGCTTAACAAAGTTGGGGGGGGGGAACTATGAAAGCAGTACCTTTAATACAGGTAGTAATCAAAATCAAAATCTATGATTTTCTGGCAATGTTTTTGGTAGTTTTTCAAAGCCTTTGGCTCCAAAACTTGGCGGCCACAAGTCTAAAGACAGATCAACCTCATTTTGGATTTCCTGTGCAGAATGGAAGATAGCACCAGCAAGATGTAGCTGCAGGTGTGAAAAAAGGTAGAAATCTGAAGGAGTGATAGCAGGCCTATATCGTGGGTTCATTGGCCATACAGAGTCTGGCCGATGAATGCAGACACATGTGGTCTTGCATTATCTTGATGGAACATTACCTTTCTGTGCCGGAAATCAGTTCAGCGTTTTTCCTTGATAACAGTGATTTCTTTGATACATGGACTAGCATCTCGCTGTCCACCTTACTGTCGAGGGTTTTACCTTTTTCTGGATATTCTGTATGGATAATACCATGGGAATCCCACCAGATACAAAGCATGATTTTTTTGTCAGTCAAATTTTGCTTTGCGACACTGCTGATGGGTTCACTGGGTGTAGGCCAACTCCCTTTTCGGCCTGTTGTGTTGAAGTAAATCCACTTTTCATCACAAATGAAGATCTAATCAAGAATTTTATGCTTGCATTGGTATTCAAGCAAATTAGTGCAGGCCCAGACAACATCAATCATTATCTGCTTGAGTCAACTCAAGCAGCACCCAGTGTTTGAACTTGCACGTCAAATTTGTGAAATGATAGCACGACTTATGGACATGGTACTAACACCTAATTCCTTAGCAAGCTCTTGAGTGGTTGCATACTGATCTTCCCCAATTTCTAGCAGCTGGGCCTCATCAACATCAGTTGGCTGGCAAGAGTGCTGTGCTTCTTGAATATCATAGTCCTTGTTTTTGAACTTATGGTACCAAAACTTCACAGTGTCATATGATACACCATTAGTACCTAAAGCTGTGCACAATTTGGTGATATTCTATAGCTGGTGTTTTGCAGCAGAACTGGAAGTAAATGGTGGTTCTAATAATCTGGTAGCATGATAGTTCCATTTCAGACAGCTTGTACTTAATGATAACAATATTTTTGTACAAATTTCATAACACAGTGTTCTAAAGCAAGTCTCTTTCTTTCAAATACCAAAAATCATTTGACAGAATGTGATTAAACATGGTAACATCAACTGTTTGCTCAGATGATATTTACAGTGAAACTTTCGTTGAAAACGATAGAAATAATATTGAAAGGAAAGGATGTATCTGAATTTCAAAATGATATTTTTGTGGGTACAGGCTAAAAGTTTCCCTCCATGCAGAATGTCCTTGTAGAACATATACTACTACATTTTCTTCTATCATTTGTTTTTATCCTAAGGTACATTTTTAAGTTAGATACTCACTCATATGTTTTGACTACATGGTCTAACAGAAAAATGATTCCTGAGATGCTAATGGTCCAGTTTTGTTACTGTTGTATGTTTACATGCTTTTTGTAGTGAACTTTGGTTAGCGTGGGTACTTGAAAGTGCATCTATTCATTCAGCTTTAATTTCACAAACATTTAGTATTTTCATTTGCATTTTCTACATGTTACTTTTGTTTGTCAGCATTAAAGTGATTGGTGAGCATGTTCTTAGTTGTAGTTGCAATGAGAGGCTTTGTTGTAATTTTATGATCGATATTTCATAAAATTATGAATTTTAATTTTAATAGAATGAAAAAGTTTAGATGAAATGCTGAAAAGTTTTAAAACTGGAAAAGTACATATTGATATATAGTCTTTATTAAAAATAGTTTTTCTTTGCATTTCTTAATTTTTATATTGCACATTTTAAAATATTTCTTGTTTAATAAATTTGTGTTCATAAAGATTTTGTCTCGTGAATTTTATAACTGCTCATTAAATGTTTAAATGTACTGTTGAATTTTATTTATTTATTTTTTATGTGGTTTTTATGAATGTTTTAAGTATTGATCACATTTACTGGTAATTTTTTTAACTATGTATAATTTATCAGATCTTATGCATTTATCCCTCTGAGGGGCCTGGGTTTTTGGATTTTTCATGAAGACCTGTATTTAAAGAGCCTATATTAGCTAAATATGTTAAATAGTTACCTATTTTAATTAGTTACCTATTTTATTTAGTTACCTATTAGCTAAACAGTTACCTATTTTAGTCTCTATTTTTGTAAACTTACATTCATCAAGATAGCATTTATATTATTAATGAAAGTAAGAAAGCAAAATATCTTAAATTATAAGCTAACATATAACAAGTGACAAAAAATATCATGGCCGGATAAAGCTGGTCATGGCGCTCAGAGGGTTAATTTCAGTTTTTAAAAGTTAAAAAGAAAATTTAATATTTAAAGAATGAAAATTTATGTATTCAATTTTTATTTAATTTTACAGAGACAGCTTAAATTTAGAAAATATTGATGATTTTATCGATAAAGAATTGAAGAAAACTGTCCAACTTGTGGAGATGTCATCTTCCATGAATGGTAAATAAAAATATATTTTATTTCAGTAAATTCTAATGAAGATTCCCCCCCTACTTCAAAATACTATTTTTTAATGTATATAATCTTATATTTAATCTAATGTATTGAAAATCATACATTTATATTTTAAAGCACAAAATATATTAAAATAAGTTTATATTTATTTGGAATTAAATTATAGAGCTTTTATTTTACACAGAAAGCAAGGGAGTATTGGGACCTGATAAAGTTATTTTTGATGTTTCAAGTAATGTTGGAAGTTTGGTGATTGATCGTGATAGATTAGGGGTAAGTTTTTACCTAATGAAAATTATATAAAAGTACACATTTTATGTGGAGTTGTGGTCTTTTTTATTTACTTTTAAATTCATATATATTATTTTCCACTTATTTTTATTGCAAAATTATGTTAATTACTGTTACTATAATTTTGTTGGATACTATCTTAACTGAGAAAGAATTTCTAATATTTTGTCATTAGTATTCAACCGTAACTTTATCCTAGAAACTGATATAAAAGTTACAGTTGGAGTGTATGGGTCCCAAAGCATTTGAGTCCTTAACTTTTGCATGGTTATCAATCCATCTGCCTTTAACTATGTTACAAAATAATTGTTTAAAATATTTCATGATAAAAATATCTAAAATTGAGCTATGTGAAATGAAATAAATGTAACAAAAATAGCAGACAAATATGCATTTATGGAAATTAAATGGGAAGAACTCTGAAATGTAATTTGTGAAGATGATTTAAAGCAAAGGTTGCTGTTTAAAATTAGTATGCAAATTAAATTACGTAGGAACAGCCAAAGCATAATTATAATCTTGCCATGTAAATGTGTGCACTCAGTGTTACAAGGGGCTGACTGGAGTGCTTTTGCCTACATGTGTACACTTTCCCATGGTAATAGAAAATCAGAAACATGTACATTTAACATAAAGCATTTCAAAAGCATTGAGATAGAGGACGTGTGTGATGAGGGCTGCTAATTAAAACAAAAAAATCTTTTATAATGATACGATTGTGGATAGTACATTGAAAGCTAAGCAAACTATTAAACTTGTATAGTTTTGTGCTGGCAACTCTGTGAAAGTGCAACATTTTATGTAAATATATAGCTGCTGAAAACTAAAACCTTTAGGTCTTCTGCCTTTTATTTATGTATAAGTAATTCTATAGCAACAAAGAGTGTTTGATGTGTGCATATATTTTCTCATTAATGAAAAAAGATCTGCTTTTGTGGTCTCCATCTTCCATTACTGTGAAAAATGTAACAATCAATTTTATATATAAACTGTATAGAATTTTATATCATCCTTTGTATGTATAACAATTTAAAATAGTTAATGCAGTTTGCTAAACTCTGAAGAACATCTCATTTACTTTTATTATGTATAACAACTTAAAGTTGTTAATGCAGTTTGCTAAAATCTGAAGAACATCTCATTTACTTTTATTAAACATGAACATTAGATTATTCTTCATTCAAAAATTCTTTTGATAATTATTTCTGGTACTTAATTGTTAAAGCATCCACTAGACTAATAGAAAAAGTCAAAAGATTAGTCACCAAGCTTCGCTTATTTAATCTCCAGGTTGCTAACATTCAGTGAATTTGATTTTCACATTGTCTGTGTGATGTTATTGATTCAGTACTACTTTCATCTTCTGAAATGTTTTCTACTTTTAACTTATAATCAATTGGAAAAGCAGCAGTAAGTATTTTGTAGTATTTAAAAGGTGCAATGTATTTGATGTCTACACTTGCATTATACTGCATTATATCATTCTTTCATTAATGATTTCTCTCTAAAATGTTGACTGTTTTTAATTTTTTATCAATTTTGAAATAAGCAGTAGTTTCTTGATTTAATTTACCATGAGCTGAAAGAGAAGCAATGGTTTTACTGTTTTTTTTTTTTTTTTTTTTTGTCTTCAACAGTGCAGAATTTTGCATACTGAGTGAAAGTGCAAAAAATGTCTACATATTTATTGGGAGTTAAAAGTGTTTGGAGTTGTAAGTAAAAAATTACAGAAGAAGAACTGTCTTCATGCCAGTAATTTATTTTACAGTTCCAGTGTTCTTTTCTTACTGCTGTGTGCTTCATACCTGATTGAGCTAAAGAACTAACTTCATCAGATAGTGAAATAGTTAAATAAGGGGAAAAATCTGAAAGTAATAATATTTGATTCTATAATTCCAAAAAAATACAGCCTCCATAAAGGTAAATAAATATTATCACCCTTAACGCATTGTGGTTTTTCAATTTTTGAAGGTTACTACAGTGCTATCTAATTTTTGCTAAATTAATTATAAATCTTACCAAATTTTGCTAAAGAGTATTTGGTGGCAGCTTTAACAAGGAAGTACCTTATTTCATTTCATTATTATTTTTTATCTGTAATAACTCAATTTATTTTGCTTTTTTTCAGTATTTTACTATCATATTATCATTTATTTTATTTTTTAGCTGTCAAGTCAGAGTAATTTCAGTTCCATTCGTGCTAATTGCTGCGTATATAAAGGTAAGTTATGAAATAGCTACTATTAACAATCTAAAATAATGGTTCTCAGCAATTCATCCTTTCTAATTTTTGAGTCAAAGGTGTATATATATATATATAATAATTCTGGGAACATAGAAGAGGACTCAACGAGCAGTCGTTGTACCTAAGAGTGAAGGTTTACAGATGAAGACAACAAAACATGAATTTGACAAATTTCCAGTCTTTATTTCCAGGCATAAAAAATCATCTCCATAGACCTTTATCCAGTCAGTAACGAAATCCAAGAGATTTCTATGATTCAATCATAATGAAATCCGATAAATTGCGATGCACATTGATTCTTAAAATTAAGACATAGGCAGTTTTGACGGGTGAGCAAAACTAAAGTGAGGATAAATGAAAGGAGCTATTAGCAAGATAGAAGTTAGCAAAAGAAGTGACGTAATTAGCTGCCAGGGTATTTATACCAAGTTTGATGTGCAAGTACAACTAATCTATGATTGGTCAGTTAATAGCATTACATAACATAGAAAAATCTCGAATTTCTAAGAAAAGATGAATTCAGGGGGAGAGCACTAAATTTAGAATGCTAATTTTGAGGTCGCCAATTATTTTTTAAAGCAGCCATCGTGTTTTGTTGTATCTTACATATATATTCTAAACAATATGTAAAATTTAGAATATTTTATTTAAGTACACTAAGAATTTACATTGATTAAATAAAACTCTGATAAAACTTTAGAAAAAACTAATTTTTAAATTTTTAAGTAAGCAAGTTTTAAAATAAATTATTAAGCAGACAAGATAAAAGCAGTCAACAAAAAGTTCAAAACACTGTCAATGTTTTGAAACTCGGTTTTGATGAAGGTAATAGCTAATGAGAAATCTGTAATTGTTTTTAATCAAAGAATTCTTATGTCAAGAAATCTCAGATATGTGGGAAAATGTTGTAAAGGTCATTTTCAACCTCTAATCTATTTCATTGCTTTATTTTCATTTACTGTAGAAATGACACAACTGATTCATCAAAATATGTTGATATAAATGGAAGCAATGTATAGCTAAACTCATTTTATCATTCTATTTGCATAAAATCTGCATACTGAGAGCCAGAAAGCTCATTGAACATATATCTTGCTTCTAATTAAGTCTTTAACTTTTTCAACCCCACTGTCAGAAGAATCCTTTCCAGAAGAATCTACCGTAAAAAGTTCCCTAAGCCTCTGTAAGCTTGGAGCTTTGAACATCACTTTGAACCTCAGCACATTTTGCAGTTAAGTCTAATATGTAAAAATAATTCCTATAAAATCTGGTTTTTATTGACATATTTTATGATTTTTGCATATATTAATTAAAAGACAGTGGCAGCACATTTCCTTTTGATTATACTGTACATCTGTTCAGTAGGTGAACACTTTTTGCCAAGAAACATTATTGAATGTTCTTCGCCCTTAGCATTTATCTGTGTTAATACAAGAATAGTCTAATATTCCAATTAATAGTCCAATATTTGAAGCATCGCACTGAACGATAAATGGCTGAGGAAAGTTCATACTGTATAAGACTGGATTTTCTATTAACTGTTTCTTGAATTCTTCAAAAGCATTTTGTCAGACATCAGTCCAATTTATTGTAGATTTGCAATATTTTAACAGATTTGTCAGTGCTGCAGAAATCACAGAAAATTCGGAAATATGCCTTTGGTAATATCCCACAAATCCTAAAAATGACAGGAACTGTGTTTTTGTGGTAGGTATGATCAGTCTAAGTGATAATAATCAATAGGAAGTCCTTTATGGCTTGGATTTTTACTTCTCTTCTTCTTTGACCTTGTTCTACTATATGACCTGGATATTTCATGGTCATATAAGCAAACTGGCATTTCAAAGGCTTAATATATGGTTTAGCGACTTTCATCTTCTTCTAAAGTTTATTTTCTCATAATTTCTAGGTGCTTCAAATATTCTTTCCAGATTTCCAAGAATACTGCAACATTGTCAATGTAGGGTATAGAAATTGTTCACAGTTTCTTAATAATCCTGCCATCAATTGCCTAAAATCATATGGTGCACTTTTTTAGCTTGAAATGGTAACCTTAAGAGTTTAAAAGTACCAAAACATGTTCACAAAAGCAGCATAACAATGGGCTCTTTTAGTTAGTGGAATCTGGCAATAACCTCAAGTAAGATCTAGAATTGTTATATATCTGGCAGGTGACACTTTTTCTACTAACTGTTCAATGTTTGGCAAGGGAAAATATTGTGTCCTAGTTGCCTTGTTCAAGTTACGGTAATCAATGCATGGTCTTGCCTCTTTTCCAGGAACTTCAACCATTATGAGAGGAGAGGTAAAATCCGATTTTAAAATCTCAGTTTGTCTGGCAGACATCTAATGAGGTTTTGCACATCTCATAGAAAAATTTAATATTGTTCAATGCTTCTAGTTCAATATCATGTTCAGTTAGGTCAGTACATCCTGGTTCATTAAAGATAATACAGGATTACTTGTATATCAACTGCTTTAAATCTCTTCGTTGATCTTCAGATAATAGTGAATTTGACTGGATGCCTTGCAGAAATTCAGGCATTTTAGTATCTAAGCTAAAATTGACACTTGGTATTTCATCTTAATAGTCATTTAACCTGTCCTCTAAACATAACAAGTTTGTATTTTTTGCTTGTCAAAAATGCGGTTTCATCATGTTAATGTGTTACACATGAGTTTATTTTTCTTGAAAAACTCACTTACATAATTTGTCTCTGATAATTATTGAACTATTTTTCCAAGACCTATTCACTTAACTGATAATTTGTTTGGCTTTGAAGGAAGCACAATTAGAACTGTCTCCTTCTTGAAATTTACATTCTACGGCTTTGCGATCATACCAGAGATTTTGTCTTTCTTTGGCTTCTTCCATATGGTGGACAGTGAGTTCTTGACATCTCCTCATTCAATTCATTAGTCCAAAAAACATAGTCCACTACACTATTTTCTTCCTCTAATGAAATACCAGATAATTTTTCATACTATAGCATAATTGGAGTTCTTAGTTTTTGCTGTGAACAATTCTGCTGGCGAGAGACATGTACTGTCTTAAATAGTGGTTTAAAGTGCAAGTAAAGCCTGACGTAAGTTTTTATCCCAGTCTGGACCAGATTCTAGACTTCGGACTTGAGGAATTCTTTTTTAAAGTTTTATGCATTCTTTCTACAGGATTGCTTTGCGGGTAGTAAACAGAATTTCGTACAACTTTAATTTCAAATTTTTCTAAGAAATTTGATGTAAGTGCACTCATATAAGATGCGACTTCGTTGGTCTGCATCTCCTTTGGAAATCGCATTCGACTAAAAATTTGAAGGAAAACATCAACGATCGTGGTTGAACAAAGATTTTACAATAGGAACTGCATCCAGTTATTGACAATCCAAGTATTGAAATTTGAAGACATGCAGATTGCAGTTAATTTCCTGAAGATGTGACAGACAAAGGCCCACAAGTGTCAACATTTATTTTTGAAAATATTTCTCTATTAACAGGGACAATTTTCAAATTTTTTTTTTTATTTTATTTTATTTAATTTTTTTTTTTATCTTCCAGCTTTCCAGTTCTTTGACATTTGTCACAAGTTTTAACAAAATTCTGGACATCTTTATAACAATTTGGCCAATAAAAAATTCTAAATAATGCATCTTTGGTCTTGTTGCTCCAAGACGGGCTGCTGTCTCTTCATGACAAATAGGCATCAACTTTTTCCGATATTTCTCAGGAACAGCAATAAATAGTGTTTGTGTACCATCACGATCTTCTTTTTTGTAAAAGAGGATTTGGCCTTTCAATATATACCTTGTGTCTTCACAATATTTTTCGTTTAGTTTCTTTATAAAGTGGTTCAATTCAATGCTCTACTTCTGTTTTTGTATAAAAATTTCTAGAGTGGCCTTTATCAGATCTAATTCAGAATGTTCATATTTCATAGAAGGCAAACTTTCATTTTCAGCCAGTGTGTCTTTATTGCTAATTTTAGTTTAAGAATTTAACTCATTTGTTGAAAGTAGATTTTCCATTTCTTTTTGACATCGCTGTTGAGCATGAGTTTGGACAGCACTCACCATATGAATTTGAACTTCTTCACCTTGCTTTGCTTCTTCAAATAATGAAGCTGTTTTGTTACCTAGAAGATAACTTCCTTGATGTAATGAATCTCTTAATATTGCAGCCTTTGTTTTTATATGACCAAGTTCCACCTCAGCCAAAGGTAAGCACACTGTATATCTTCCAGAGGTGTTCGTATCCACACGGTTTCACTTGTGTACATGGAAGGCTGTATATACTTTTGGCAAATTAAGTCCAAAGTTACACTAGTATCTCTAATTAGGAACATTTTATAACCATTTACTTTACCTAGGCTGTTATATGGAGTCATAATATCCTCAAAACTATTTTTGGAAAACTCATTTGAGGGTACAGTTTCATTTGATGCTGCAGTTTCCAAATTCTTCTTGAGTTTGGATCTGCATTCATAATAATGAGGTTGTCCCCGTTTTTTAAATTCTCTTTCATGAATTTTATTAGTAAATTTTGTCCTAATTATAGGCTTAGTATTAAAAACTTTTGAGATTTCTTTAGGATTATATCTATTGTGATAATTACCTTGAATTCTGTTCCCATTTTGATGACCATCTTAAAGTTTTAAACCTTGTTTTCCAGGATTTTCCTTCATAAAGCTTTGTTTAATACTCTTATACTCCTCTAATTTTTCTGCTAGTTCATATCTTGTTTTTCATCCATTAGTCAAAAAATTATCCTTTACTTGCATTGGAACCCTTAATTTGCTCTTTCAGATTCTCAAATGTCTGAATTCCTAAATCCCCAGTCCACTCAAAAAGTCACACAGTCAAAAAATAACTAGAAAGTTCATGAACATAATTTCTGCAAGACTTTTCAGAAGTCTTTTGATATGTTGATAAAAGCACTATTTCAGCTTTTCAGTATTAAGTTTATATCTTTTTAAGATTAGATTTTCCACACATTCATACTTAGCTTCATCTTCATATCGTTCTCTGGCTAACATATTGAAGATCTCGGTAGATAAAATACCCAAAAGATAAGCCACCCAATCTTTCTTAGGGACCTGAGCCATTTCAGCTTTTCTCTCATTTCTCAAATATAGTCCCTTTCTATGCTTTTTTTCATCAAACTTTGGTTTAACTTGTGCCAACAGGATTTTATTGCTTGTTTACTATATTTGCCGCTGATTCTCTAGTTCGTATTTCTTGATTTTCCAATTCAAGTGGCTTTGTTTCTAGTTCATTTTCTGGGACCTTACTAGTGAGCGACACTTTCTCACCCAATTCTTCAGCTTTTTCTATTAAATATTGTTTTCTACCCTTGGAAAGAAAAGACATTTTTTGAAATAGAAAACTCTTGGACAGCATATGAAAATTAATTTTAAAAGGCTTTCAACCAGTATTCAAAAATTCAAATCAACTTTTTTTTTTTTTTTCTTTTAAATTAGCAATTTGAATATGAAAGAAAGTATTTTAAAAAAAGTACTCAATACAATAAAAATATGCACTTTCCGTTCAATAAAAATCTGCTAAGCTTGCTCTTAATAAAAAGTAATAAAGTCAATAGAAGAATTCAAGCCTCTAACTTGATTCTCACAACAAAAGTCTTGATTTGGGACTATAATGCAAGAGCGCAAATTTCAAACAGAAACCTTCTAATATTATGTAATATATCTGCCACTCTAATACAAGAGCTGCAATTTATTCACACAACAAAATACTTTTGTGATTTGGGACTCTTAACACATGAGTTCAAATTTCAAAATAGAAATATTATAATATTAATGTAATAGATTTACTACTCTAATGCAAGAGCTCAAATTTTAAAAATGAAATATTCTAATATTAGCGTAATAAATTTGCCACTCTAATACAAGAGCTCAAATCTTAAAATAGAAATATTCTAATATTAATGTAATAAATTTGCCGCTCTAATACAAGAGCTCAAATTTTAAAGTAGAAATATTCTAATATTAACGTACTAAATTTGTTATTTTAATACAAGAGTTCAAATTTTAAAACAACATCCTAATCAGGCTAATAAAGGAATTTCACAATTTTGATAGAACAACAAACTTCTATTATTCAAACTTATAGAGAAACTGAAACATTTCAAGCACATACATCTTCAAACAAAGTTTCTGTTCATTTCTTACTGGACATTATGTTAGTAGCCTAGCAACGCAAAGATGTTACAATATGTAAGCTCTGTATGCATGCTTTAAGTACTGCACATTTTACATACATAGAATAAAATTCCAAGTAATACTAATACCACTAAACTTAAAAAGTTTAATTAAATTTCATAGCATTCTGGCTTAATGTATATGCATTTAAAATTTCAATTAAAACCTTTAATTTCATCATATCAAATATACATTGGGCAGCATGCGGCACTTTGCCCCTGTATCTCATTTGATATGATGGACCCATGGCTAGAAACTGAAATGTATCATACATAATATGTTAAAAACAAAGAGGTCAGTTCCAGAAATTCACAACATTTTCCTCTGAATATTTGAATAGATTTCTTACTAAAAAATCAAAACCTTCATCGCTGAATTGAGAAAACACAATTGAAATCAATTTCCTGGGTTCTCAGTTTGTAGAAATTATGGACACAGTTTCTTTCATTGGAATCAAGAACTAATGATCATTTTTAAAAACTTGAAATATTTTAAGTAATGAGTTTCCTTTCCCAGTTTTTCATTTGGTTTGTGAGAGCTTTCAAAAACTCACTTTACGATTTTCATGTTTCTTTTTTGCATTTGGAGATTTATTTGATTTTGCTGCTAAAAAATATCAAACTAAATAGGCGAGTTGATCCATTCCTTGTCTTCTAATTGGGAGAAAAATTCCATTTTATCTTGCATTTAAAAAATACTTAGCTCCAACACTTTGCAGATGATATTTCCTCTTTAAAACTGCTGAATGTTTATGTGAAAAAGAAGCAAATGATAGCCTCCATCTATGTCAATATGTAATAACTTGAAAAATTGTGTAATCATAGACCCTGCTTTGACAAAATCCACAGTGTTTGAGAGTGATACTTATTGATGTATCACACAGTGAATTTTTTTCACTTCTAGAGAACATTTTATTTCATTTTAAAATCTAGATTTTATTCCTAATATCTAATATGGCCTACATTCTATATGTACAACACCATGAGAAGCTTAGTGAAAGCTTTTTCATGTCCCCCCAAAAAAAAAACAGGAAACCGTTTTTATAATACTTGAGATTTTATTTTCTATAGATGAATGAAATCAAAAAAAAAAAAAAGGGGGGGGGGAGGAGTGCAATGGGAATGTGATGCTACGTCATTGCATCCATTAAGCTGACTCATAAATAAACCAATGTCACAGACATTTCCGCCTCTAAAACTTGATCTGTGATATCATTGGCTATATTGATTGTTTTTAAACAACACTGTATAATAGTAAAATAGCTGAGATTTTTTTTTTCTTTCCAATTCATTTTTTAGTTTGGTGTCATTCAGTTCATGGAACGGTTGCGCTGAATCCAGCTTTGCCCTTTTTTAAGGAGATTTACCATTCACCCAATCAGCAAAGCTTTTGCCCTTGCGTTGAATATAACTTTCTGAAAATGTTTTTTAAACCTTGTTGGTATCACAGGAATATTTGTAAAAACTTTATTATTATTAACATATTAATCTCTTTTCTCATTAGTTACATGGACTGCTAATCCATATAGAATATAAGAATAATGAAATCCTCTTTTCGTAGCACTCATGATTGTCTTCTCGCTATAACATCTGTACAAATGTTATTAAACAAAATACTGTATGTATGCAGAAAGAAAATTGAGAAGAACATCTACTATAAATGTAGCAAAACCAATACACAAAAGAAAATTAAGCAAATTCACCGGTGGTAAAAAGTCACTGACTAAATGACTCGTACTATCCACCAGCCCACCCAAAAAAATTAATGCGAATTCCATCATCTGTGGTTTTTCAAAAAGGTAATATAAGTGTGGGGGGCAGGGTTTCAATAAAAATAAACATTGAATGAAAGAAATTTATTAAAAAAACCTCACAATTGCCTGAATCTTTCACAGCTGAACATTATTAGCTGATTCCAGATGTCAGAAATTCTGTTAATCGTTATCAGAAAGTCTGTTAATTTACTTTGTTAAGTAAGTAACAGAATTTTTCTCAAATACTGGAAAACTAAATTAGTCTTTTGTAAACAAATATCGTCAGTATTCTTACAGCAAGAGTGGGAACTAAATCACAAGATTAAAAAACAGTAAGCATCTCAAAGATTGGATTTATGACATATATTCTTCTTATTCTATAATATATTATAATATATATAAAGAGGAAAACTCTATAATAATTCTTATATTTCGAAGTAAAATTAAGAAAGCCAATAAAGAAAACTAAGAATTACAATTTGAAGTGTATAGAAATTCCAATTTACAAAGTCATAAAGTAATTCTCATTTATTGTGTTGCTTTTATTGGCGCTCAAATACTAATTGTGAATATATTAAGTATGTTTCTTATTCACTTTGTCTCTTTGAGATTTCTATTTAAAGCTAGCTTTTTCTTGTTTAAGTAATTTTAGGTAGAAATTCACATGTTTTATAGTCATATTTTGTGTAAGAATGTAAATTTCAAATTTTGAGACATCATCATAATAAAAATTTCGTGAGTAAAATTTATGTGTTTGTCAGTATTGAGTATTTTTCATGTGTATAAGAAAGTGAATTGCAACACTTGCATTTTGAACAGTACTGTGATTTGTGATTGAACTTGTGAAATTACTGTATTGAATATAAGTTATCAGATTGTAAAATAATATATTAGAAAATTTTTCAGTTTTATAACTTTGTATTTATTTGTAGGAAAATGGCAGTATGAACTGATGTTAGGCTCAAAAGGTGTTATGCAAATTGGCTGGGCAACTATTAACTGTAAATTTTCTCAAGAGGTAGATATTCATAACATAGGTTCTTATGTTTTGCTAACTTTTCTTGTGAAAATATGATTTTCAAATTTATGGATGAATAAATTTCCTGAAAACTGTTGCAGAATTTATGATTTAATTGAGTTAGGTATTATAATTTGTTTGATGTATTTGTAATAAATTTTTTTAATGATTTTCCATTTTAATGATTATGAATATTTTATTATTTTTTTTGAAATTTCCAAATTATAATTGCTTATTCCATTAAAATAACAGGTATTTTGACTTTTTATACTGGATATTTATAAATTTTAAATATTTTTATAACAATTAAAATGTTCTAGAAAGGTGTTGGAGATACTCTTCATTCTTATGCATATGATGGTCATAGAGTGCGTAAGTGGAATGTATCTACTTATAAGTATGGTGAGGTAAGTATAATTTTTCATTATGCTAACCTAATACTTATGTCATACTCTTAATTATTAATCAAAAATGTCTTGTATTGTTAAAATGAATGCTATGCCCCCAAATAATTTACTGTTAATTATTGAATGCATCAAATGATTAATATTAAACAACTGTAACAAAATTAATAAAACTTTATAACTTATTCAATAATACAGTCAAAAGTCGTTAATTCGGACACCCATAATCTGGACCTCAAAGCTACAAACTTTCTGCGCATGCGTCGCGTTGACGGACCTTTACGGCTTTTACGAAGAAGACCTTTACGGCTGCGAATATGCGTGTGCGCATGCACAAAATACATTTACTAATGCACGTTTAATGTATAACGGACGGTATAAGCGAAGCTAAAATTATCTAATTCAGTTAATGTTGCAGATTGCATTGTTCCTTAATCTTCGAATTGGATTCGGCTTATTATTTTTTGCAGACTGAGAGCAATTTTATAAAAGTAAGCTTGAACTTTTGATTATGTCAAATAGAATTCTGATATATATTTACTAATATGTAAAGGATCTACAAAGCGAAAGTATGTTCGAAGTCCATTAAACAAAAAGTGGAATGCTGCAAAAAATGGATAAAGGCATTCCTTTGTTATTGTTGATCGTTTGTTTATCTAAACTTTGTTTTCTTTAACGTGTGGCGCACAATGAATGGAAGTTGATCTGTCAGCACTATCCTTTCTTCGGGCAGATGTTTTTATTTAATTTGGCTTATAATTCCTTACTAAATGTAGTATTTCATCTCGATGTATAGATAAGAGTGCTAATGTTTTATTTTCGTATATTATCATCATCTATACCAAGTGTTTAGAAATATTTATGTAAATTCTGTGATTGTACGAGGATTGTTTTTTTAAGTATGGTCTGTTTTGCAATAAAAATGAGATTCAAATTTTTCAATAAAGTATTCATTTTTTGAATTTACACATGTAATGTTATACATTTATGTTATATTAAAACTCATTTATTAAATGAATGATTAATCAAGATGTGCACAAAAAAGGAACATGTACATTTTATTAGGATTAATGGTTATAATATGAATTATAATTTGCTCTGCTGACAATTAGAATTTGTTGATGAAACACCATTTCCTTGACAAGTAATGTTTCATTTGATTACTTGCATTTTTCTTCAATGCATCTAGTTGTAACGAAAGTTTTCTGCCAAAAAACATTCTTAATAAAGTTAGGGAAAAAAGAAATAAATGGAAGCAGTCTCTTTAGTGCAGTTAGAAATCACCACTCAAATTTATGATTTTCTGGCAATGTTTTGGTAGTTTCTCAAAGCTTTCATTTCAGAAACTATGGCCAAACAAACGATCCCATTCGAGTCTGTACAGAGTTCTGCTGGTGAATGCAGACACATATGATCTTGCATTATCTTGATGGAAAATTACCTTTTTGTTCTGGATTTTCCTTGATAGTAGCATGAACATGGAATAACATCTCACTGTACACCTTAGTGTAAGGGTTTAACCTTTTTGCAGATACTCATTGTGGATAATGCCATGGCAATCCCAACAAACACAAAGCATGATCTTGTTGATAATTTAATTGTGTTTTGTGGCACTGTTAGCGGGCTCATTGGGGGCAGACTAACCCCTTTTTGCCTGTGTTGTTGAAGTAAATCCATTTTTCATCACAATCTGGTCCAGAATTTTGTCCTTGCGTTGATATTGCAATTGAACTTGAACATCAAGTTTATGCAATGCACAGCATGATTAATGGACATGGCACTATTGTCTAACTCCTTAGCAAGCTCTTTAGTGGTTGCTTACTGATTTTCTTCCACAAGTTCTAGCAGGCAGGCCTTATCAAAATCAGTAGGATGGCCAGAGTGTTCTGCTTCTTGAATGTCATAGTCCTCGTTTTTGAACTTTTGGTACCCAACCTTCACAGTGTCATATGATATAACACTGATACCTAAAGCTGTACACATGGTTTGGTAACATTTTGTCACCAACCATGTCACCAAAGCAAGTCTCTTTCTTTCAAATGCCAAAATCATTTGATAAAATATGATTAAAATGTCAATGCAAACTGTTTGTACAGACAATATTTGCGGTCTTTACCAGGAAATACCTAGGTTTTTACCAGGAAACTTTCATTAACACCTGCTAAATCATACTTTTTAAATGATATTAGATACTTTTAAAAGATTTTTATTCATGCTATTTTATTTATATTTAAACAGTAACATTTTTCCTACATTTGTCATTTATTTCTTATGTTTGAAATAATTGAAGCACTTAGAAGAATATCTTAACAAATGATTTTTATTGTTTTTTTGTGTGTTTTATATAGCTTTTTATTATTGTATTTTAAAATATTTATATTTTAAAACATATGCATTTTTATATGTATTTTGCAGTCCTGGCTAACAGGTGACGTTATTGGATGTGCGATAGATTTGGATAAAGGTGTTATTGGATTTTATAGGTAATATTGAATATAATGTAAGAAAATAAATTTGTACTAATTTTTATTTTTGAACCAGTTTTTAATTTTAATATTTTTTTTTGTTTAGGAATGGTGTTTATCTAGGTGACGCATTTGATAATGTTAAAATTGGCCCAGGTCTTGCATATTTTCCTGCCGTTAGCTTGACATATAATGAGAACCTTGTTGCAAATTTTGGTTCAACTCCTATACGGTATCCTATTCCTGGGTATTCTCCTCTTCAGCAGTACCCTAAAAAAGATGTGGCACAAACTAATAAATTACTTACATGGCTTGAAAAATTACTTGACCTCTATTATTCTGTGACACAGGTTTGTTTCAAATAATTAAATTTGATCTGTTATGCTCACAGTATTTTTTATGATAAAAATATCCTATTAAATGATTGAATAATCATTTTCTTTATTTTGTTTGCTTTCAATGCACGATTATTATCCTTTCAAAAGTGATTGATAAAATATATTGTTTTAATCAGTATGTTTTTTAATTACTTTTCTTATATTTTCTCTATTTTTAGAATTATTTTTTTATATTTCTTTATATAAGTGGATGTTTAATTTTATAGGTATCGTTATAAGTAATTTTGAAGCTCATTTAGAAGTTAAACAAACATAAGCCAGAATTGAATTTAAGCTGATAATGATTTTAATAATTCCTATTCTTAAAAGATTTTGCTATTTATTGATAATCAAGGGAGGAAAAACTGAAACAATCTAAAAATTCCGCATAGATGAGATTTTCTTTCCTTTCACTTTTGTTATATAACACTAGTTCATATCTGTTTATTGTTGTAATAAATTAGGAAAATGTGTGTTTTCAAGATTTTCTCATATGTATTTAACAGAATAAGTTTCTCTTTTTAAGCCATACACTGAGGTTTCATTCCTCCTAAGCAGACATTCTTCAAATCTCTGTGTTTTTCTTTTTTGATAACATTATTTGAAATTTATTATGAGATAAAGAAGTTTTTTTTTCATTGTAAAAAATCATGTTTTTTGATAATTGCTTTATTTTTCATAGGAACCTAATCCTATTTTGGTTGTTAGAAACTGGCCTCCTCAGTTTAAACAGGGTTTAAAAGCTCAGCTGTTATTGGTTGCTGCTCCTCTTATGCATAGATTAGGTCCACTTTTGGTAAGAATAGTCAGATTCCTAATGAGTATTTTCTTCAATTTCTTGAACTGAGAATTTTTATGTTTAATGTGTAATTAATATGTGGGTACTTTATAAATGTATTTACTGTGATGTTTAAAAATTCAGTTATGTGCACTAATAAAAAAAAGATTTATTTAATTTCATAATCATGATTTTGGTTTAAGAATATAAAGGCAGCAAGGTAATGAACAATTAGAGTTAAAAAAATATCAGAATTCACTTTGGCACTGATATCTAATGGAAGGACCCAGTGCATTTTGGGGAGTTCTTTCAAGTTTTATCTTGAAATGAGCAGTAAAGGAGATCAACATTTAATTAACACATGAATCTATGAATAGATTGAAGTAATCAAATTTTACTTCAGTTGAACTCATCAGTTTCATGAAACTCTGTACACTTATAGAGGACATTACAGCAAACAGATTTGAAAAGGTTTGGGTGTTGCACCTCTCAGAGATAAGCAAGAAAGTGAAGACTAAAATTTTAAGTTGTCATCAGATTATTTAACAGTTATTCCTAATTATATAATTCATAAAATGATACTGTGGATGAAAGGATCTTAGTTCTCATCTAGCTTCTTTCATTGTTTTTTCCTCCCCCAGCTTTATAATTTCTTTTAATGCTATTTTATTTTGAAAAGGACTTTTATTCATGAAAATATTACATAGTTAATGACACAAAAAGTGATGTAATAAAAAATTATGTAAAAGGAGCAATCTTTTCCCTGATTTATGGTTCTCATCTACAACTTCATTTACACAGTGTAGATGATAATTATCATAGAAGGTTTAAAATATAAACTACTATAATTAGAGTCATAAGGCAAATCATAATTCATTAAAATTAAACTTTTTCTGAACAACTTTTGTTTAAAATTTCATATCACACTTTACTGACTTTCATTAAAAAGTCTCATAAATTGTGTGGAATATTAGATTTATTGCATTTTCCTTTTCTTCCTTTCTTTTTTTTTTTAATGCTTCATATGCAATACAAAAAAGAGTACTTAATGTATTATTCTGCTATAAAAGCTGTTGGAGAGAGAATTAGCCTACTTTGCAGATTTCTGAAGGAACTGAAAGTTCTATAATAATGAACAATCAGTATTTTATCCAGTTTGTTTTTGCACATCATAGAAAGCTTTCGATGAATTTCTGCTTGATAGGTGGTCCAGTTTTACTGGAAGCTTTGTTTAGAATGCTATGAGTACAAACTTTCCCATTGGTAACTGTTCCAATCTATTACTGTTTTGTCAGCCATATCTAGCTGTTTTTTCCCCCATTTAGTACAGTCAAAAGTCGTTATTCGGACACCCATAATCCGGAATGATCTATAATCCGGACCTCAAAGCTACAAACTTTCTGCGCATGCGTCGCGTTCACGCATGCGCACAAGCGTTTACGAGAGCGCGTAAGGACCCTTACGGCTGCGAATGTTTGTGCGCATGCGCGTTTAATGTGTAACGGAGTTATACGCTAAGCTAAAGTTATCTAATTCAATTAATGTTGCAGATTGCGTTGTTCCTTAATCTTCGAATTGGATCCGGCTTATTATTTTTTGCAGACTGTTAGAGCAATTTTATAAAAGTAAGCTTGAACTTTCGATTATGTCAAATAGAATTTCCGATATATATTTACTACAAAGCGAAAGTATGTTTTTGAAATCCGAAATCTGTTTATCAATTTCACGCTGCTCTGCGGCAGAGGGGGGGGGCAGAAACGTCATTATTAGATTATGATAGATTAGAAAGATTATGTCAAATAGAATTTCCAATATATATTTACTAATATGTAATTTGTATCTACAAAGCGAAAGTATGTTTTGAAATCCGAAATCTGTTTATCAATTTCACGCGGCGGATTGGAAGTTGATCTGTCAACACTATCCTTATCTTCAGAGCAGATGTTTTTATTTTATTTGGATTATAATTCCGTACTAAGTTTAGTATTTCATCTCGATGTACTCCGTCTTTGATATGATTTAAATCAAGTTCCTCGTCATTATAATTCGCTTCCGATAGTGAAGAAAGTGACCCAGAGGTTATTGAAAACGAAAACATTTCGATTGACAAATTAGTCGGTATTCTCAACACAGCAATTATAGGAGTTGAACAACGGAACTTTGTAACTAAACAAGAAATTATGTCTGTTTAATAGAATTAAAGAGAAAGTATTATCACATGAAACGAAGCAACTTACATTGAAGGAAATGTTTAATAAAGTAAACAAATAAATATTAAGTTTTTTCTTTTTGTAAATCTTGATACCCTTTAGATCGTAATTGTTCTTTATTTCATAAATTACGGTTTCATATTTTTAATTTTGTAATTTTTGCATGCCATCTTACCAGATTTAAACTGATGATCTATAATCCGGAAAAATCGATAATCCGGAATCGCCGAAGTCCCGACGAGTCCGGATTAACGACTTTTCACTGTATATGTTAATTCTCTCAACCAACTGTAAATTATATGAAATGCAGTTGCAAATGTGATTCAACAGCCCTTGAACCATCTTCCTTTTCAAATAGACATTCTCTTCTTATAATTTTTCCTGTTACATCACCATTGTTTTATCCGTTTTCGAATAGAGTATCATATTGTGTCCATTTATATGCCCTTTTTTGATGGTACAATCCCATAACTTTGAAAATAAACCACTCTTTGTTGTTCTATAGAAGGCAGAACCCAAATTTTAATCTCTCCCCCCCCCCAAATGCAAGAGGGGAAAATAGAGCTATAGAAATTAATTTATATACTTTTTTCATATAAACAAAAGGTGACTTATTGAGAACCAGTCAGGGTTACATCAAATGAAAGTGCAGATGTTATGTGTATGTTGCTATGTCCATACATATTCATAACTGGTGCTAAATCATGATATTTGGTGACAGATTTTTGGTTGGATAGTGGAAATCCTTTTATAGTGGATACCAGTTTGCTATGAGAGAAAAATGAAAATTATGATAATGTTCATTTAAACTTTCAAAGGAATGAATCTAAAGGAACAGATATTAGATATAATTATCTAAATGAAGAAAACTCAAAAAGTACTTAAAGCCTTAAGAATGGTATGACCAAATATTCGCAAAATATTCATTTTTTTGTGTTATTTTCTGAAGAATATTTTTTTAAAATAAATTTTCTTCCAAAATAAAATGACATCTAAAGGATTAATAATGCTGCTAAAAAATAACTCTCTTACATTTAAAGAAAGGAACTTTTCATTGACAGCATAGTGTTAGTCACATTATCAGGGATTACTTCCTTATGAGATTATTGAGTTACTATGCTACTGGAGAAATAGAGAAACTTAGCCTTGATTTTCCTTTTGTCCTTCTTTTTATTCTTGATTTTGATCATGTTATTTAGAACTTTATCTCGATTGCTATTCTTATTTCTGTCATATTTATTGTTATGATTATTACCCACTGGCCCACCACGCTCGATCCATCAATGGGGGATTGATCTGTCCAAATGGTTACAAACATCCAATCCAAAATGAGCAGGCGCCCCGTCACATTGGAGCCACATGTTGCACCTTACATTTGGTGGAACATCTTCAAGCAAGCCGGGAAGAACCTGCTCCAGAAAGGTCAGATAATTTGCGGCATTCAAACTGGATGGTAAAAGGTACGGTCTGACTAAGCAGTCACCAACCAAACCCACTCTCACATTAACTTTAAAGCATTGTTGTGCCACGTGATGCCATATACCATGGAGGTTTTCTTGAGTCTATAAATACTGATTGTGGTGATTGAATGCCATCCCTATTGAATGTGTTTCTTCCATGAACAACATGTAAGCTGTAAAAGTTGCAGGCACTTTCTTGCAGAAACCACTGTGTGAAACACACATGTTCTGGATGGTCATTGGGAAGGCATAACCAAACCCTTTGGAGAAAAAAGGCGTAGAAGGACTTGGCGTTCAAGACATGCTGGACACTGGTATGAGACATTCTTAATTGAGAGGCAATTGCATGTATGCTAGTCCTTGGATTACTCTCCATCGTATCCAACACACCTTTTCCCCTAACAACCGAGCAAGTTGATCATGGTCTGCCCTCACTTGTCCTGCCATTTCTTAATGACCCATAGTCCCACAAATTTTGATGCAAACTGTGGTATGGTTGATGTCTGTTGGGGAAGCATTCTCTATAAATGCATGCAGTGGTTCGTCTAGTACCCTCAGCTATTCCATATTTGCAAGCTCTCCATTCATATAGCATTCCATACTCTTCGTGTGGTGCCTACCGCCTTGAATGAGGCAATTCTTATTTTTTACTAACACTCTTCTGTACAGCACCCCCTGGTGGCATACAATGGCGCTTCTGGGCATGGGTTCCTGTGCAATTCTTATTCCTTATGATAGGCCCTACATCCCCCAGAAGTTCATCACAACATTTATGGGACACCCTATATATGTGTCAGCTAAATGTTCTGTTGGTTAAGTGTGTTATCATCTAAGTGGTTATCAGGTAAGTGCCATGACACCTTTTACTGTGATGGTGAATTATCACCCTTTGCTCAAACTGACTGTAGAAACAGCAAATATACAAAATGTAAAAATATCAAATTTAATTTTTCACTGCAGGTGAATTAACTTAAAATAATATAAACACAAAACTGAAGTCTCTTTGACTTACACCTAGTAGCTGAAACTTAGAACAAATTAACAGGCTACAACACCAGGGCTCCTACTTGAAGCTACAATTATCAACTGGGTCAGACAAAATACTGAAATTCACCAAAACCATGCCAAATGTCTGGCATTCATTTTTAATCTAACAGTGGCATCTACTAGGCAAAGCTGGTGGTGGCAGCAGCCAAGGTGTCCACTACAGGTCATGTTGATTACAATTCTTTCTCTCAATTTAAATCATGCTACTTTTCATGAAATCTGCAGAAGCCTCAGGACTGAGTATATGATAAAACAAGGCATAAAAAAATAAATGTTAACTATTAAAGGAAATGTGAGAACT